CCCCCCCCCCCCCCCGCCAAAAAAAATGCTGATCATGGCCTTCAGAGAAGACATTGTACTTCATTTCTCTATATTCTCATTAGGATTTTTAGGTTTTCCCCATCTCATGGTTTGGGGAAATTGTGACATACTAGTTCCTTTCTCCCAGTATGGTTAATAATTTTTTTTTTAAATGATCGTACCACTGAACTCCAAGCTGGGTAACAGAGTGATCCCAGCACTTTGGGAAACCAAGGAGAGAGGATTGCCTGAGCCCGTGGTTTCAAGACCAGTCTGGGCAACATGGTGAGACCACATCTCTACAATAAATCAAAAAATTAGCTGGGCATGGCAGTGCGTACCTGTAGTTCTGGCTACTTGGAAGGTTGAGACAGAAGGATCACCGGAGCCCAGCAGGTCGACGCTGGGCTGGCTGTGAGTGTGCTACTGCACTCCAGCCTGGGTGATGGAGTGAGACTCCAACTCAAAAAAAAAAAAAATTTTTTTTTTCAAATAACTACCCTTTTTTTTTTTTTTTTTTTTTAATAACAGGTGGGCTGTCTAATGTCCTGCTTATTAAATTATCTTCGTATACACAAGGACAGCAGAAACCCCTAAGTCAAGGAGCTGCATAGCCACCTGGGACTAGTGCAAGAGTGGAGCCAGCCTTGCTCAGAAAAGAAGTCATCCCCCTTCCCCCAAAAATTAGAGCACAAAGAGACTGAGAAGGGGCAAGAGAAGTGTGAGACACATAGGAAGGTGGGAGGCAGCCATTTCAACCACAAGCGGGTTGAAACCAGAAGCTGGAAAAGCTGAACTTGTAGGGGACACCCAAGCCTGCTATTTCTTCCCTTCCATATTGGAGGTCAATGCCTCCAATGCTTTTTTTTTTGGTTTTTAAACAATTTATTAGCAAGAAAAAGAGAACGAAAAAGGAAAGTTTATGGCAGAAAGACCTGACATGGGCAAGTTTCTCAAAAAAGAAAAACCTCTCCTCCAGTGCTTTTAAAGATTCGTGCTCCTACTGGAAACCTCCCTTGTGTGTGGTGTTTATTATTAGCCGTGTTGTGTCAAAAAGTCCGAAGCTTTCCCTGTCACTGGCTTTCTCTGTTAAAAATTGTCTTTTTTCCTTCCCCTTCCCCATTTTTGCTTGCGTTTTCTCTGGCAGGTCAATGAGGTAAGCAAGACCAACTTTAATATCAGATACCAAGCTAACCCATCCATTGATATGACTAACCCCATCCGCATCCGTCACCATGTCTGAGCATCCTGCTTTGTTGCTGTGTAAACTCATCCTCCCGACATCCATCTGCTGAGCCAAGCTCTGTCTTGCTGTTGGCATCTAGTCTTGAACCAAGAGTAGGCATGGAATGTTACCCACAGGCCAAGTCCTTTGAGCTGGCAACACCAGATAACTCTTCTTCCCTTAATGCACTGATTTCAGGGAGCTCCTGGGAACCTTTTCCATTGGTGGGGGGCAAACATGGGAGAATTAATTGCTTTCTTGTGTGCATGTCTCTGTTCTGCCAAGCACTGGCTGCAGCCCCTGCGAGGCTGACAGTCTTGTCTCTTCAGTTACGCAGCTCCTTCAAGCAAGCTTTCGGGAAGAAGAAGTCCCCCAAGTCTGCATCCTCTCATTCTGACATTGAGGAGATGACGGATTCTTCTCTGCCTTCCTCACCAAAATTACCACACAATGGGTCCACGGGTTCCACGCCACTGCTAAGGAATTCTCACTCCAACTCTCTGTAAGTCTCTGTCGAGGACACCCTGTCAGATGATATCTTTGGCCCCTAAGGACCATCTCAAATAGGAATAACTAGGCCATCTGTTATGATACTCCTTGGGTTCCTGTATGTTTTGCTTGAATAGGACTGCTCACATCCTTTCAATGCCTTAGTCCTGTGAAGGTTGAGAGAGAGATGAAACTTAGATTTTAGTTCTGGTGGTGTCAGTGTCTGTAAGTAGCTGACTGGTCTTGCACAAGTTACTTAGCCTCTGTTGGTTCCATATCTTTATATATCAAACTGGGACAATAGTTGTTGTCTGGTGATCCTATCCCGAGGATTGAACAAGATAAATGGATGTAAGAGCTTGCTTCCTGCAGCAGCAAGAAAGGCTGTTCCCGCCCAGTAGGGCTGAACTCCTTTTAAGACCATGACACATCAGGACAAGAGTTGAAGAAGAAGTCCTGGAACATAGGTCGTCTGCAAGGAGAGTTATCAGAGAAAAGGGCCAGTGTCTGGAAGAAGAGGGCAGTTGTGGCTGGGGTCAGAGTAACCACTGAGACAGGGTTAGAGAAAGAAGTTCAGTTGTATAACTTTCGGTTTCCTCTCTAGTACAATTAGAGTTTATTATACCTACTTCCCTGGATTCTTGAGAGGGCCAAGTCAGATACTTCTCTGTCTCCCTTCATTCTCAAGAGGTCTGTGGTGCTGGCCGTAAGTCCACCTAACCAGCCAGCCCTCTGAAGATAGCAGCTTGGAGAAGGTCCTGCCCAAGTGGCTTGCAGATAGGTGCAAGGAGTGCAGGCAGGATTGGCCTGTCCAGAGGCTGGGTCTCTGCAGCATAGAACACCAGCTACATGGAAGAGAGGAAGTGGAAGACAGGAAACAGTATGCAGCATGACTTTCAAGCAGCCCCGCTCACTGCTAAAGCATGGACCTGTCAGGGTCTCCATTTTACCTCATTCAAATAACAACTCCTTTTCTCTTGGGGAGCGCCTTAGTAAGAGGGTGATCACAGGGACACACATTTCTTTCTGTTATGGGTGGGGTTAAAACTCTGAGCAAGGGAAGAAAGAGGTGCCCTGAGGGCTGTACCTCAGTGCATCCCTGTGGTGCCCAACCCAGTGCCCCGTTTCCTTGAGTGAACAATCAAACAAATGGCTGAGTGTACATGTCCTATTTGATCTGCAGAGTGCCTAAGAAGCAAATAAAGGCCACGTTGCCTGGGACTGTCACACATGCCATCATCCCAAAGCATCCCAACTCGGTTGTTTCTTGACCAGGAAAAAGGGGAACTCATCATCTCTTCTTTATTGATTGATTTAAACTTTTTGTATAGTTGCCTGTCTGAACAGAGCACTATCCTGTGTGTTCTGAAGAGACCAAAAACATGTTAACTAGGCCAGACACAGAGCCTCATGTCAGTATTCCCAGTGCTTTGGGAGGCTAAGGCAGGAGAATTGCTTGAGGCCAGGAGTTCAAGACCAACCTGGGTAATGTAGCGAGACCCCTGTCTCTAGAAAAAAAAAAAAAATTCTTTAAAAATTTAGCCAGGTGTGGTAGCAGGTGCCTGTGGTCCCAGTTACTCAGGAGACTGAGGCAGAAGGAATGCTTGAGTTCAGGAGTTCAAGGCTGCAGTGAGCTGTGATTGCACCAACCACTGCACTCCAACCTGGGCGACAGAGTCCCTGTCTCTAAACAAAGAGAAGTTAACTAGATTTTCCACCCTTGGGAAGATGATGGACAAGTGGAGACATAGCATAGTATAGTTCATTTTACTCCTGAGCTTTTGCTCTGTGACAGGCACCATTCTCAGCTCTGGTTATAACAGTGTTCAAGGCAGATGAAGTTCCTTCTCTGATAGATCCTATATACCAAGAAGGGAAATGGACATTAAACAAATAAATCCTGAATAAACTAGGAAAACCAGGCCGGGCATGGTGGCTTAGCCTGTAATCCCAGAACTTTGGGAGGCCAAGGTGAGAGGATTGCCTGGGTCCCCGGGGTTTGAGACCAGCCTGGGCAATTTGATGAGAGCTTGTCTCTACAATAAATCACAAAAACTAGCCAGGCGAGGTAGCGTGCATCTGTAGTTCCAGCTCCCTGGAAGATTGAGGTGGAAGGATCACCTAAACCCAGTAGGTTGACGCTGTGGTAACCATGAATGTGCCGCTACACTTCAGTCTGGGCAACAAGAGTGAGACTGCAACTCAAAAAATAAACAACAACAACAACAAAAAAAACCCCAGGAAAATCAGATAGTACTTAGGGCTAATGCTGTGACTTAAAATAGTGCTGGGATACAGAGTACCCTGACAGCAACTTTAGATGGGACAGTCAGGAAAGGCCCCTCTGAGGAGATGACATCTCCACCGAGAGCTGCATGACAGGAAGAACCCCTGGGTTATGTTCTGGTCAGTAACATTAGCTGCTGTAATAAGCTCCACCCACAAGCTTGCTGGCTTTACATGTGACTGTTTATTTCTGGCTCTTTTCAAACCCAGTGCAGATGGTCCTAGTCAGCTGGTGGTCTGCTTGTGGTGATGTGGACACCAAGGCTCCCGCCATGCACAGGGCCTGAGTTCTTTACTTGGCGCTCTGAGGGTGGGGCAGCGAAGGCTGCGGGAGGGCTTTATAGACTGGGCCTCGAAGAGGCTCACATCGCCTCTTCCCATAGTCACTGATCAGGACTCAGGCCAGTCACCTGCAGAGGAAGAAGTGAGGCAGGAAATGGGCTTTGGCGACCACCTAGCAGCCTCTGTCATCCCAGCCTCACAATGAGCAGGGCAGCCCTGCGCACCCAAGAAATAAGGAACACAAGAAACCTAGTGTGGAAACAGGCTTGATGGGTCTGAGAGAAAGAGGGACAGCCAGTGTGGCTGTCCTGTGGTGGGAAAAGAGGCCATAGACATAGCCAGGGCCTTAAACTTGTGAGGCTTGGAAGTGAACTTGCATCTGATCTCATGGGCAGTGGGTAGATGGGAAGAGTTTGGAGCAGGACCGTGAGAGAATTTGGATGAGTATTTTGTAGAGAGATCGTCTCTGCTCTGAGGGTAAGGAGTGCAGCTAAGGAAGGGAGGGGGGAGGGAGGTTACCTGGAGGCAGCTAGCCACTTTGGCCCACTTGGAGCACACCAGTCACACTCTCATCTGAAGGCCTTTGCCTTCCCTGTGCCTCTGCCTGGTGCTCTCTTCCCTAGAATATTTCTTTCCTTCTGATCTCTGCTCAGTGTGACCTTACGAATAAGGCCTTGCCCATCCACTTGCAGACAGCGGCACTTCACCACCAGCCAGTATATCCTGTCATTCCCTTGTCCTACTTCGATTTTCACCATTGTACCTGTTGCCACCTGCTGTGTAGATGCCCCTTGGTCATTTGTTCTGTCCCCCACCTCCACCCTAAGTCTACAATAGAAACTTCATGGAGGTGAATTAAAATAGCACAGGGATATGGAATCCCTCAGCAGCAACTTTGGAGGTCAGGAAGGGCCCTCTGAGGAGGTGGGTACCCTGATGGTTTTGCAGGCACTAAAATACTTGGTGGAATGAACGAGTGACTGATAATAGTGGTGAGTCTCGGATGGAATGGGGATGTGTCCTTGAAGAATAGTCAACCGCACAAAGTTCAGGTGTGAGTGTGAGGGAGAACAGAAACGACTTTGGGAATTCCCAGATTGACAACTTGAGTGGCTGGGATGGGCGGAAGGCCCAGATGGGGGCAGCATGTGGAGGTCCGGAACTCTGGTTTGGCCACATTCATTCTGAGGTGCCCAAAAGACAACCATGTGGAGACGCCGACCAGCTCGGGGTTCCCAGAGTCACTGATCCAGGAGACACGGACTCATAGGTGGCATTGAAAGCTGATGATGAGGGCAGTTCTCCAAGGGGCTGCATGGAGATACAGAAGATCAGGAGGCAGGGACTGGGATATTTGGAGTCCAAGAAGAGAAAGAGGAGGGAGGAAACCAGAAGCAGGGAGAAACCATTGTGGGAGGGCGTGGGAGCAGGCCAGAAGTTGCTGGCTGAGTGAGACAGCAGGGTGATGGGCTCCACTGGGCAGGACCGTGGCAAGAACGCTCCTTCCAAGCCACGCTCCCCAGAGGGACTGGGCACGGCTGACTCTGGCTTCCCAGCCCACCTCTTACATTCCACAGCATCCACATACCCTGGAGATGTTTGTTTTTGGTCTTACTTTCCAAGGGTTGGGCTGAGAGAAAATGCTCATTTCCAACCTTGAAGGGTTTGTAAGAATGTGCAAATCTAGATGAGAGAGGGAGTTCAAAGAAGAAACCAAAGGCAGAGGAGTCAGGCTTAGGAAATTCCCCAGCCCGTGGGCGAAAGAAATGGCTGCTGTGGGGTGGCAGCGTTTTCCCACACTTGGGGCATTTAAAATTAGCCCTGCCTCTGGACAAGAGAGCAGGAAGAGGCCGGCCTAATGGCTTAGGGACTGACTTGGGGAAAATGTACATTGGATTATTTCAGTAACCAGTCCATGAAGTAGACAAGCATGTATTGAGCACCTACTGTATAGTCCAGGAGCACAGGCTCTAGAGTTAAACAGACCCACTAGGTTTGATCCTGCTCTGTGTGATCTTGGGCACGTTCACCTACCTCCCCATTTTAAAATTGGAGAAAGTTATTATACCTCTTCACGGAGTTAGTAATGTATGAAGAAAGCAGAATAATAGACTTCACATGCCTAGCCCAGTTCACGTATCCAGTAAATATTTTCTGCTCAGTCGGTCCCAACCTATGATGTGTTGGTCAATGTGATCGGACAGTAGAAATGATACAGAGAATCACCCTGGTCCTGGAGGAACCAACAGCCAAGCAGAGGTAACCTGGAAAGTACAGTAAAATTATCAGTGACAGCCTGGGCAAGATAACAAGGCTTCATCTCTGCAATAAATCAAAAAATTAGCCAGGTGTGTAGTAGCATGCGCCTGTAGTCCCAGCTACTCAGGAGGCTGAGGCAGAAGAATTGCCTGAGCCCAGCAGGTTGAGGGCTGCAGTAGCTGTGATTGTGCCACTGTACTTTAACCTGGTGACAGAGTGAAACCCTAAACTGCAATAAATCAAAAAATTAGCCAGGTGTGGTGGCATGTGCCTATAGTCCCAGCTATTTGGGAGGCTAAGGCAGAAGGATTGCCTGAGCTCAGCAGGTCGCTGTGAATGTGCCACTGTACTTAACCTGGTAACACAGTGAGATCCTGACTCAAAAAGAAAAAAAAAAAAAAGAAAATTATCGGTGATAGAGCATAAGTGTAGTCAGGGAGGGATCCTGGAAGAAGACTCTGTCTTGGGCAGTAGGGAGAGGAGCTAACACTTAGTTGAGGTTGCTGTGAAGGGATCTGTTTTCACCGTCACTTGTGTTGTGGGACATCTCTCTCATGTGGCCCTGTCATTGTATTTCTGAGAACTGACCAGCTGTAGAGAAGCACAGGAGTGTCTTGTCCTCTCAACACAAACTCTCCTCATTTTAGTTTGCTTCCCTTTGTAGTTATTATTTACCGAACTCTGCCAGGTAATGTGATATGTACCACAAAGTGGGGGCCAAGGAAGTATTCTCCCTCTTGCCCAGCGCTTACTGGGGAAAAGGTGCAGACCACATGAAGAAGACAGACACAGTGCCTTGTCGTGGAGTGCTGGACAGAACAGTCTGACACAATGTGAACCAAGAAAGGCTGTTCTCTACAATGAATTGGAACCTTCAAGAACTGTGCAGGACATGGTTTGGCTAAGACCGGAGTGTCACAGTGGAATTTTGTTCAGACTTTACACTCCATTTAGACCAAGAGACCATCGTCTTTTCAACAAATACCCAGTTTTTGCAAGCTCCATCTGCAAACCACCTAAACCAAAAAAAGCATGGTTCTGTAGTTAAATCTTGCAAACCACAGGCTATTCAAAGCACAGAGAACTGGGGAAGAATGGATGGTGTGAATTCTAAAGGCATTTTTACCTCTCCAGTCTTCTTAATCCCAAAATCTATTGGCCCCAGTTTCTCAGAGGTATGAAATGGGAACAATGATATTAATTTCAGGAGTTCCTTAGATTTTTCAAGAAGATTTTGAGGCTGAGATGTTTCCCTGGTGGCTGACAACTTTTAAAAATAGGAGGGGGTTTTATTCTCTGTATCTCTCAAATCAAAACAGTTCAGGTCAAGAAAATAGCAACAGAAAGATTTGGCTGTTGAAGTATTAAATTTTTCTTCTAATACTTTCTGCCCCTAAGATACAATTGCAGCTCTTTCAACAATTTTATAAATCGTTTTCCTTTGGCAATTAACGCATCCACACCCTTAACCAGTTTTACAGGTCAAGTTTTATTTGGCCCCAAATCCAGCCCTTGAATCTTGGAGAGCAGGTTTGCATGATTGCTAATTTCTGCAAAGATCACATGCTCATCTCATTATCTCTTTCAGACATAATCAGTTTCAGCTTTGTAACTTTATGGACTTGGGAGTGGGGAGGTTGATTTGGGTTTTTTTTTTTTTTCCCTGTCTTTAGTCCAAGAAATGTCAAAGCCTTCTATTCTGGATCAACCAAGATCCCAGATCCTATGATCTTTGAAACCATTTTTTTAAAGAGAATTTTCTTTTTTAACATTGTAATTCATTATGACTTTTATGATCTTCCATTTTGTGCTGACTTGCCAGTTGTTTGAAGAGCAAACCCAAATAATTAAGTCAGGAACCCAGTCCGGAAGAACCACCTCTCAAGAAAGAGAAACTCGCCTGGGCACAGTGGCTCACACCAATAATCTCATTACCTTGGGAGGCTGAGGTGGGAGGATTGCTTGAGCCCAGGAGTTTGAGACTAGCTTAGGCAACATAGTGAGACCTCATCTCTAAAAAGAAAAATTAGCCAGGTTGTGATGGCGCAGCTACTTGGGAAGTTGAGGTGGGAGGGTCACTTGAGCCCAGGAGGACAAGGCTGTGGTGAGCTATGATTGTGCCAATGCACTTCAGCCTGGGCAACCGAATGAGACCTCAACTCAAAAAAAAAAAAAAAAAAAAAAAAAGGACACTCAACAGAATCCTACAGTTACCTTGATTTGGTCCCACGGTCGCTGTGATCTGGTGTCCAGCCAGGAAAGGAAGACAACTAGCCAAGCTGTTGCAGCATTTTCAGATACAACTTTGGCTTCCATGCCATACCATTCTGTCTGGTCTCTAACTCTCTGAAGATTTGTCTTTTCTTGCTATGAGTGTCTTATGCAGGGTGGGGGACGGGAGAGCCAAAGAAGGCTGATCTCTCTAGTCTCTTTAAGGAGCGAGTTTTGAGAATGTGATCAGGAACAGACTAACTGCTTCTTCCCATCTGTTTCAGTTTCTTCTCCTTGTTGGCAAATAAAAGATCACCCCTCAGCTGTTTAACTTTGAGGTTTCTAATCTTTAAAACAGTTGACCTTGCTTCTCTGAATGGGTTTAGAACTCAAGGTCCATGGGGTGTCATTACATGGAGAGGAGAGCAGGACCCTCAAACCCGAAGGTTACTATTCCCTCTTGCCACCTCATGCTTATCCCTAGATTACTGGAGTTTTGCTGAAAGGCACACCAAAGCCAGCCTGATTGCCAAAGCTCTGCAAAGAAAGAGTGTGGAAGTAATAAAATCTGTGAATTGCAGATTATCTTGAGTGCTGTCACCTCCAGGAAGCATAGTCACTGCTGCACAAACCTGTTGATTGATGAGGGCCAGTGGTCACTAGGGGACTCGAAGGTGCAGGTGCTGCTCTCAGTACCGTTCCTCTTTCCCTAGGATTTCCGAGTGCATGGACAGTGAAGCCGAAACGGTCATGCAGCTCCGGAATGAGCTGAGGGACAAGGAGATGAAGCTGACGGACATACGCCTGGAAGCCCTCAGCTCTGCCCACCAGCTCGACCAGCTTCGGGAGGCCATGAACAGGATGCAGGTGAGAGCTGGGAGCGTGGGCTGAGCCCGAGGCTATGTGGGAAGGAGCTGGGGGGTGGTTTGTTCTCCTAGCCTCAGTCTCTCATTCCCTTCCGCACATTGCTCAAAGAGCAGTCGTTTGAAAGAATACGTGTACCCATGCCCCTATCTTTGTGTAAGACTTTTAGTGACTCTTGGTGCCTGTAGCACGTGGTGTGTTCTCCTGCACTTGGCCTTCAAGGCCTTCTCACGGTCCTTTCCACTCTGAATCCACACCACCCTCCTCAGCACCACTTTCCAGACTCGACTCACTGGCCAGTTGGAGCCGCTGACGACTTCCTTTGCATGCCTGGGAATTCCTGTCTCCTACTGTTCTCTCCACTGGAAGTATTCCTCTGCACATCCAGATTAAACCCTTCCCTCACTCTCAGCCTGATGTGCCTTCCTCTGCAAAGCTTCTGCAGGTCTTGCAGCTGGAAGAGCTAATGCCCTCACCTGAATACTCCCGTAGATTTGTTCTTACAGCTACCCCCTTTCCACCTTCTGCCTTGGCATGAAGACACTTGGGTCTTACAAGCTGTTTTTGGCATCCCTTTCTCTGGACATAGCACCAGTGACTTGTACATAGGTTCTTCATAAATAGTCATAGAATGAAAGTCTCCTGTGGGATCTGCTCAATGGGACCTCCCTGGAGAGCTGTATTTCCCAAAGGAGAGTCCCTGAAACCTTTGTTCCATGAGAGGTTCTATGAAAAGAGAGCTCCTTGATCAAATGGCTTTGGGAAATGCTGCACACCATGGGCTCCTCTCAGGTTCACAACACAGAGCAGCTCATTAAAGGTTCTGAGAAGTTCTGCAGTAAAGAAGCCTGTCAAAGCCGGGGTCTCGCCTCTAGACATGTCTTGTGTCTGCAGCAGCGGCAGCAAACACTGCTGAATCTCTGGGTTGGTGTTAACTTACCTTGCCTGGGATGGCCACCTGGTTTCTGCAGGGAACTTTCAGATCCTCCCTCCAGGAAAGGCTTGTTCTCATTCCTCCCACTTAGCCAACTTCTCCCTTACTCTTTGCAGAGTGAAATCGAGAAGCTGAAAGCTGAGAATGACCGGCTGAAGTCAGAGTCTCAAGGCAGCGGCTGCAGTCGGGCCCCCTCCCAGGTGTCCATCTCCGCCTCCCCGAGGCAGTCCATGGGCCTCTCCCAGCACAGCCTGAACCTCACTGAATCGACCAGCCTGGGTGAGTGGCTCATAGGGCTTGGGGGCAGGCCCAGACCTGAACCTGGCACTCTGATCCCCAGGGGAGAGCCCCAAGATAAGCAGATCGACAGATCAAATGGCGAGGCAGCAGGCGTGTGTGCACTCGGGTGTGTGTGTCTGGGTGTGCGTCTGCTACCAACATGAGCCCAGCCGTTAGACCGCTGTCATGCTTTGCTCCAGCACCCGATTTTCCAGGCCCTGAGCTTGGGCCCCCTCGCCCACCATGCTGAGTTCTGTTTGATCCATTTTAAGAGGCTGACCTCAAGCTGAACGCTGCATATGAACCCCGTAGCAGCAGGTCCCAGTCGGGGCAGTGACTTGGTCTGTGACCTTCCTGCCTTTGGGGACAGAGTCCAGGCTGGCACCATCATCAGCAAACAGATCCGGGTTTCCTTTGGAAGCGCACTGAGGTTGACGCTTTTCTTTTTTATCCATGATGCTGCTGTGGCTAATGTTTTGGTTGAGTCTCTCCCTCGCACTTCCATCCGCCAAGGTGCTTCGTCAGCCTGCTGGTTCCTTGGTTGGTCCACCATTGGTTTCTGTGGTTGCATTCTCCATTTTGCCCTCTCCCCTCCCCCCCACCT